GGAGAGGGGACCACCTAAAAGGAGGCGGGGGGGTGAGGGGAAGGAGTTGGAGGAGGACGAGGAAGCAAGCAAGGAACCGCAGGATGAAGAGGATGAGGAGGCGGAGGAAAATTATGATAATTTACAGTGAGGATAAGGATAATCGGGAGAAGCATTAGCAGCAGCAAGATGAGGAGGGAGGAGCAGGAGCAAACGGAGGAGGAGTACGACGAGGAGGAGGAACAGGAGGCGGACAAGAAACAGAAGAAGGCGAACGAGACAATATGGTGACGGGGGCTCCTAAGCTCCGAATTAGGATGCCACGGGAGAGCAGGGCGACGGCGAGCACAATGGAGGGAATGGGGGATGGGCAGAAAAACACACAATACCATACTTAATCAAGAGACGAAGAGGGGGAGGAGGGGGAGGAGGAGAGGGGGGGGAGGCAACGTTCCGACGAACATTCAGGCCACCAGGTGCCAGGCCAGGAGGAGGAAGAGGAGGAACGATATCGGTATCCAGAAGCATCCAGAGGTGAGTTACATCGGTCACTGGGGCAACTGACGCACACAACTGGGTTAGTAGAGGCCTCCTGGATGGGGTCCGACAAGATGGGGTCGGAGAATCGCGCCGCATCGCCGATGCATCGGTGACGTCGGCGACGCATCGGCGACGTCGACGTGAAGCAAATCGGGCTCCACATCGAACCGCATCGGCGATGCATCGGCGATGCGGCGCGATCCTCCGACCCCATCTAGGAGGCCTAGAGTCAGCCGGGTCGCTGGGTCACCGGGCCAACTGACACGACGTCAACTGACCCATGCACGCGCGCGATTTACTGGGTCAGCGGCACGTCACTGGATCAGCCAGGTCACCAGGTCAGCTCCCCAACGCCACAGGGCCGCTGGTTCACTGGGCAGGGGGTCAACTGACCCCAATCTTACCATTGGGTCGCCGAGCCACTAGGAGGAGGAGGATGAGGAGGAGGAGGATGAGGAGGATGAGGAGGAGGAGGAGGACCAGTGTAAACCCGAGAGTCATCAACAAATGTTGGAATAAACTCTCCCTCCAAGCTCCCTCTTCACAGGCCCCTACAACGCTTCATTTCCATTGGGGGACCTGCCTCGTTGGAAGATAACCGTCTGAAGACCCTGAAGCATACCAAAGCATTGTTCTCGGGATTCCAACACCACGGATCAAGCTGACTGTTGCGTGTTGACGATCCTGGATCGCGGCAGAACGCCATTCCTGGGACTTCGACACAGCGAATCAACCTAACTGCTGCGTCCGCGTAATCCGAAATCTTTTCAAAACACAGTTTCTGGTACGCTGATGATGGGAATCCGTGAAGCTCTTGCACATGTTTAAAATGAATGTGCGCCGCGCGAAGGCGAGAGCCATATTTTGAAAACCACCCGCCCTCAATATGTGAAACTCTTGCACATCTGTAAAACGAATGTGCGCCGCGCAAAGGCGAGAGCCTCATTTTGAAAACGACCCGCCCTCAATCCGAGAAGCTGGTGGAAATGTTTGGAACGAATGTGCGCCGCGCTAAAGCGCGAGCCGCATTTTGAAAACCACCCGCCTTCCATCTGCGAAGCTGTCGCCAATTTTTATACTTCAGAATCATAAATGGTGAGGAAGTCTCAGGCGAAACGCCCGGTCCGCCCTAAAAACGGGCCTCGGGGTGCGACAGGGAGAGGTTATCCATACGGAAAAGGAATGGAGGAGAAAGGGGGAGGAGGAGGAGGAGGAGGAGGAAGAGGAGGAGGAGGAGGACGACGACGAGGACGAGCAGGAGGCGGAGGAGGAGGAGGAGGAAGGGGAGGAGGAGGAGGAGGAGGAGGAGGAGGAGGAGGAGGCGGAGGAGGTCAGCTGACCCACGCCACGGTGGTCAAATTTGCCTGTTCCAAATTCCGGAATCACTTGGAACGGTTCCGAGGTGATTCAAACATCCTGACACTCACAGTTTCCAGATCCAGAAACACCCCGGAACGGTTCCAGGGTGTTCCCCCATCTGGTCTCCTTCAGGGAGACCTTACTTACACCAGACCTCATTGGGCTGCTTGCAGAAGGCCTTACTTGGCTGCTTGAGTGCCTTCGTGGGCTGCTTGCAGAAGGCCTTCTTTGCTGCTTGCAGGAGGCCTGCAGGAGGCCTGATTGGGCTGCTTGCAGAAGGCCTTATGGGCTGCTTGCAGGAGGCCTTATTGGATTGCTCGCAGAAGGCTGTATTGGGCTGCTTACAGGAGGCCTTATTGGGCTGCTTGCAGAATGCCTTATTGGGCTCCTTGCAGAAGGCCTGATTGGGCTGCTTACAGGAGGCCCCATTTGCCTACGTAGCAAAGGCTTTACTAAGCTGCTTGCAAAAGGCTTCAGTGGGCCCCAGGTGGAGGAACCATTCCAAGGTGTTTTTTTCATCTGGACCCCCTCCAGTGCAGCAGTCGCCCCCCCGCTTATCCTCGAGAGCGCATGTTTCACTGGGGGGGGTCTCAGATGGAAAATCACCCTGGAACGGTTCCAGTGTGATTTTCCATCTGGAGCGCTCCCGAGAGTCAGCTAAATAGCCCAGCCGAGAGAGAGAAGGCTGTCCAGCAAGAGATCTGATGTAGAAAATGACTGCATCCATCCCCGAGAGCGCATGCTGCACTTGGGAGGGTCCCAAATGGAAAATCACCCCGTGATTGTTCTGGGGTCACTCACGATTTGGGGCGGTCCCGCAATTCAGCTGGGGAGTCCCCAGCCGAGACAGAAGGCTCCCTAACAAAATACTCGATTTGGAAACGAAGACTTTTTGGAATCGGGTACACCACCTACTTATCTCCGAGAGCGCCTGCTGCACTGAGGAGAGCCCCAGATGGTTCCTGCTTGATGTTCCATCTGGGGCGTTCCCGCGATTCAGCCTGGGAGCCCAGACGAGAGAGAGGGCTCCCCAAGAAACATATTGTACTTGGAAAATGGCGCCTCCCATGGGTTCGGGTACGCTCCCCCATGATGTGTCCCCATGGAGGAGCATCCTGGAAATCACCTGGGGCGCTCCCGCGAGAGAGCCCAGCCGCAACAGCGGGCTCCTCAAGCACGCTCTCCGATGGGACAACGGCGACTTTCTGGGCTCGGGTGCACCCCTCCCCCTGCGTAGCCCCCGGAGCGCCTGCTGCACCGGGGGGGCCCCAGATGGAAGATCACCTCGGAGCGGCTCCGGGGTGATTTGTCCATTTCTGGCGCGGTTCCGCTGGGGAGCCCGGCCGCGACAGGAGGCTCCCCGAAACATATACCTGATCGGGAAATGACGCCTTCGGGGGCTCGGGTGCACCCGCCCACGTATGCCCGGGAGGTGCTGCTGCACTGGGGGTTGCAGATGCAGCATCACCCCGGAACAAATCTGGGGGTGATCTTCCATCTGGAGGGCTCCCGCGATGCAGCTGGGGAGCCCAGCCGAGACAGAAAGCTACCCAATAAGAGATTCAACTTAGAGAATGACGACTTTTTCGGCTCGGGTACACCCCCTCCCCACGTATCCCCGAGAGCGCTTGCTGCACTGGGGAGCTGGGGGGGGGGTCAAAGATGCAACATCACCCTGGAGCGGCTCCGGGGTGATTTTCCAATTGGGCGCGCCCGAGATTCAGCTGGGGGGGCCCAGCCGAGAACGAAGGCTCCCAAGTAAGCAGTTCTGTGTGGAAGATGTAAAACTTTTTGGGAACGGGTGCGCCCACCCCGCACCCACCCACGTGTCCCCGAGATCGCCTGCTGCACTGGTGATGGTCACAGATGCAAAAATCACTCTGGAACAGTTCCTGGGTGAATTTCCATCTGGGGCGCTCCCCAGATTCAGCTAAAGAGCCCCGAGCCGAGACAGAAGGCTCCCTAACAGGATCTTCGATTTGGACAATGACGACTTTTTTTGGCTCGGGTACACCACCCACTTATCTCCGATAGCGCCTGCTGCACTGGGGAGAGCCCCAGATGGAAAAACACCCTCGAGCGGTTCCTGATTGATGTTCCATCTGGGGCGTTCCTGCGATTCAGCTGGGGAGGCCAGC